TCGCCGCCGCACTGGCTCCGCTCGCTGGAGCAGCTCACCGAGACGGGTCCCATGTACCCGCCGGCGGGGCCGCCGCAGCGCGCCGCGCCGGCCCTCTGGACCTCCACACCGCCGCCGGGCTTCAACCCGGCCCTGTGACGCCCGACCGCCGCCGCCGCCACACCAGTGAGTACCCGCGGGAACCGGGAGGGGAGGTCAGGTAGTCACTGCAGGGCACCCTGTGACGCCCGGCCGCCGCCGCCGCCACACCAGTGAGTAATCGCGGGAACCGGGAGGGGAGGGGAGGGATTGGGGAGTCACTGCACGGTGACCCTGTGACGCCCGACCGCCGCCGCCGCCACACCAGTGAGTAACCGCGGGAACCGGGAGGGGCAGGTCGGGTCAGGGACTGGGGAGTCACTGCAGGGCACCGTGTGACGCCCGACCGCCGCCGCCGCCACACCAGTGAGTACCGGGAGGGTGTGAGGGCGGGTCAGGGACTGGGGGCCGGCCAGCATTTTAGCTGCGATCATGAGGCAGCCGTGAGGTGACGTAGCGATACCACAACTGCTGACCCTGTCAGTATCTGACTGTGTACCAGCTGTTGCCGGATTTCCCGTGCCGGCGGCTGTGTTAATATGCGATCCGTGTGGCCGCCCTCGGTGACGTCTCCGGCTCGCTGGCGCCACCTGTCAGTATCAGCTGTCGTTCGTTGGCATACCAAGGGCGGTCGCCTTCCTCTGCCCGTGAACTGATAGGCGTGCTGGTACCTTTATGTTCTACGTATTATCTTACGCTGTCGTGTTTTTTTTTCTGCGGTTTTTATGATGGTAGGCGTACCATTTGTGCTACCGTTCCTCAGCCCTGCATTACGCATAAGCTCACCGTTCGTAAGGTATTATGTCAGATGCTGACCATCGCCCCTCGTCCTTTCTCTCCGCAGACGGACCTCTGACCGATATCTGACCCGAGCGACGGCCCGGCGCGGCGTCCGCGGCCGGCCGGCTGGCGGGGCCGCGGCGCCGGCGCCGGCCGCCTCGGGCCCAAATCTGTGATGCAAGTGTCGACCGGGGCGGCGCCGGGCGGCCCGCGGCCCGCGCCGACTGACGGAGGGGCAGGGGCGGGCTGCCCGCGGCCGGTCGGCCCCGGTCCCAGTGCCTCGCGGTGGGTCGGCCGGGTCGGCCCGGGTGGCGGCGTGTGACCCCTGACCGGGCGCCGCCGGCCGTCCGGGGCGGCGGGACCGGCCGGACCCGCCGGCCGCGGGCGTGGCCCACTGAGCACCAAAGGAAGGTCTGTTTCTGCCGGTTTATGCTGGTGCGGTGCTGACGGGTGCTCGCCGGTCCGGAGCGGGGGCGGCGCGCCGCGGCCGGCGCCCTGCCCTCGGCAGGCACCGGCCCGGGCCAGCGGCTGCCCAGCTCCGACCTGAGAGCGGGTCGCCGTGCTACGGATAGGGCTCAACGCGCCGCTGCGCGCTCCAGGGGCGGCGTGAACCGGATCGTGGAGGCGGTGCATGGCGACAGGGCAGTGCAAATCTCGGGAACAGGTGGAAATTATGCTGTGGAAACACCCCACACAGGTATGGGTTTTTATTGAGCGCACTTGGGCCTGTGGTCCTCTGTAGGTTTTTGATAAGCCGCGTGCCTGCTGTGCGCTGTTCTCACGGCATCTGAGCGTGTTTCCGACGATGAAGGTATGTTACCGGCGCGGCGGACGGTGTGGCCGGGAGCGCCGGCCGCGGGCAGCGACTGCAAAGGAGATCGAGCGAGACACGAGAGAGAAGGCGAGGGGCTGAGCGGGGCCGGCCGCCGCCACGGGAGCGAACGGACCGACCTCAGAAGAGTATATGTGCGCGGGGAAGGAGGCCAGAGAGCGGAGAGAGGGCGAGAGTCACCGGACGGTACATGTGCGCCAGCTAGTCCACAGAGGGGGCGGCGGCCGGCCGGGCGGAACGGGCCGCCAGGCGCGCCCGGGCCGCCGCAGACACGTGTGTGTTATGTTGCCTTGACCCATTCTCCGATTGGCTAAACTTCAGTCCGTATAAGTACTTGGCAATCTTTCTGAAATAAAGATACGACTCTCGCTGCTGGTTTGTGTTTCCGGCGTCTGCGAAGTGCGGCGCCCCCAAAACTCATAGGCTTGCTGTTCTGTTGTGATGTCCATGCGTTAATACAAGAGGATGTATTTACCCGGCGCTGTGCAGTGTGTGCTGAGTCGGTGCCGACCAAAAAGTTGATTGAGTCGAGAGTCAACCTTCCGAGCTGAGCCGGAACCGAGCTGTCCGTTATCGTTATAACTCCGGTCAGGGCATATCACGTCGGTAATGGAAGCTGACGGCAAAAAGAAAAAAACGAGAGCTGCGCATAACACCCTTGCCACGGAACTTTTCGCTTGTCGCGCCTGGGTTCCATTGCTGTTTTTTTTTTTTGGGGTGGGGGGGGGCGTATAATTTAACCTTTATCAATGGATGCTGACGAATTTCATTTGCCGCTTCGCCTTTGACAATCAAATCGCCAAGTTAAAAATGCAAATTAAATGTAGTCAAGGCATTAATGTACTTTTTAACATACCTAAACTATCGTTGCGGTGGATATCAACATTTAATTCTGGGGATGAGTCGTATTCTGCGTGACCGCTCGACGCAGGCGGTTTGTTTACGGCGGTGTTGAGTCGCGTGAGTGTGTCGGTTGTGTTTCGTGCATGAAAAGAGCGACGTCAGTGAAAGGTGCGTTTTAGAAAGGAGGTAATATCGATAATGGTACAGTAATAATTTCAAAGCGTCACTCATTTTCATTTTAGCGGCGCCGGTTTCAAGTTCAGTGCGCGGTGCAGGTCGCGGCATGCCGGGGGCAGTGACCTTGACCTTGGCATCCCGCGTCAGCCGCTCGGTTTCAGTGCGTGCGGTCCGTCCCGGGCTCGGTCGTTGGCAGACTAGTGCAGTGCTGGCTGTGATAAGCAGAGCTCCTTCCACTGGCTGGTGTTTGGCGGCCCAGACTGGACCAGACTGGACCACGTGACTCCGCAGTCGCACCACGGACCAAGACCGGACCGAGGAGGCCATGCACGCAGGACGGCGGTCGGCGGCCGCCCACGCTCTGCGCTGGTGAGTACCACCGTGTTTTGTTTCTGCCTGGCTAAATGGGTCTGTCCAAAGAAACCATGATACCTGTCAGGTTCGTCGCAATTCACCCCGTGTTCAACTGTACACTCAAGTTAGCCAATGAAATAGCATTTTGCCCAGCTGCAGCAATATCAATTATCAATATGGTTTGGCTCACGTCCGTATTGCCCCGCGAAATCCGACATGCCAGATTTGGGCTGGTGTGGTACCTAAACCGCCAACGCCGTCGGAACAAGGGGGTTGGGTCGACATGACTCTGTTCCGGCTAGCCAGTCTTTGCCGTAGCGCTCCGGAGTTGGTATGGTTTCGGAGTAGGTATTCGGACCGTCAAGTCCGGCTCCCTACCACGGCGTTGCTACGCGGCTGTCTCTTAGCTGCTCTGGCTTACTGCGGCTGAAGTACGGTTGAGGTATGGCACGGCTGATGCTGCACAGTTGGCTGTGGTGTGGGCGAGCTCTGGGATCGTGTGTCAACTCCAGTAGAGTTTCAGACCTTGCCCGTATGTACTGCGGCCGGAGATAAGTGCCGGACCTAACCAGAATAAAACATAACCAGAGTAAAACCAACTACGGCCCAGGCCAATTTTGCTGGCTGGGCGATCCCTTCGTTTCGTGATACCCAAGTCAGTTTCTTTTCATGATAGCGACACCCGGCAGATCCTTATGTCGTTTTTCTGCATAGGCTGACTTGTAAGTACATACAGGCCCGAGGAGGCGGAGGGGGGGGGGCTGCATTCCTCCGAGCCGTTCCGTTTCGCTCAATGATTAAGCTAGAGCTTTGCGACAGAAAGAAGCGTGCGCCGTACGCAACAACTGGTAGGTATCGAATTTTCGGGTTCCAGAGTCGGTGACCTTTTAAGTCGTGAGTGCTCTGGAGGTTATTCATTTGTACAACCTCTAGTTCCCTGCGAAATATTTCTTTGTCACGGTACCCACTGAGAGCTTACGAGTTGCAACATTTTTGGACCGTGCAGAGGATCGCTTATGAAGTCATAGGTCAGTGAGCGGACCTGATGTGGTTAATGTCACAAGATCTGGCCTTTTATCTGAAGTCAAGTAAGCTAACTTTCAGCTCCTTATCCCTAATCCGTTCCGAGCGATCGCGAGAAATCCGTCGTGGGGCACGCCTCCTCTTCCCTCAAGGCTGGCGCGTTACTTCGTAGGTCGCTCGGCCGCTCCAGCTTTGCTTATTACTCGCACCCATCCAGTACCCTGCTTGTTGTAAGCATCCCTGTATTGAGACCTCAAATATATATTATCAGACATTTTATTTCAGCAGCTCCTTCACCACGTCGGTTGATCCTTTATGCCCTAGCGCGGCGCGGCTGCAGCGGACGCATTCCCCGTCCACGGGTCATGCGGTACAGCATAGATTCAGGCGCCGCCGCTCCTGCCATCTAGTGACGAAATTGTCGACACTGAAGCGCCGGCGCCTGTCGATCAATTAAAGCCGTAGCCCGGCTATAGCTGTTTAGTTTTTTTTTTTTAAATAAATTTTTTAGAGGTATCTTATACTAAGGATATGTATCAGAAAGGAAGGTAATGTTAAAAATTGATGTTCGATGTTGATACGGTGCAGTTATTTACCCTCAGCAGTCAGCACCCTCAGCTAACGAGTAGCTGCCAGCATTTCCGCGAGCTCGAACACATCGATGTCTATAAATAGATACTGCAATGAGATGCTAGCTTCACATGAAACCAGACAGTCATTCAAGCACTTTTTATTATCTAAAATAATTTAACATTACTTGCATTACAGATAACACCTCAACCCTCACGTGTTACAGCACACTAGGTAACATACATAATAAAAACAATGAACGATTCATAGAGGATAATGCAGCACATGCCGAGCATCGGTTCGCACCTGCTCACGGCTGCCGTTTCCCCGGCAGATTGTTACTTTACTTTTGTATAGACCTGGCCTGTACTGTGACGTACTGTACCGGCTGGTACTGGGCCGCCGGCTGTACCGCGCGGTACTGCGTCTGGTACTGGGCAGGTACCGGTCCCTGCGGCTGCTGGTACTGCAGTTGGTACTGGCCGGACGCCCGGTCCCGGACCAGATACTGTCGGTACTGGGGAGATGTCTGCTGCTGCTGCGTTTGCTGCTGCACCACCTGGTACTGACCGGCTACTGGCTGCTGCACCGCACGGTACTGACTGGTTGCTGGCTGCTGCACCACCTGGTACTGACTGGTTGCTGGCTGCTGCACCACCTGGTACTGGCTGGGTGCTGGCTGCTGCACCTCATACTGGTACTCTGCGCTCGCCTGCTGCTGTACCACCTGGTACTCCTGTCGGTCCTCTGCGGGTACCCGCTGCCGCACCACCTGGTACCGCTGCTCGTACTCGGCAGGCCTCTCCCGCTCCGTCTCCTCTCGATCCTCCTCTTGTTTTTCCTTCTGATTTTCCGCGCTGTCGTCTGACGAGAAGACGTACACCGTGCCGTCTTCTGCCCGGTACAACGCGCGCTGCTGCCTCTCCGTCTGGTACTCTGCGTACTGAGACTGCGTCTCTTCAGGACGGTACTCGGTGTACTGAGGCTGCGTCTCTTCAGGACGGTAATCGCGGTACTGAGGCTGTGTCTCTTCAGGACGGTACTCGGTGTACTGAGACTGCGTCTCTTCAGGACGGTACTCGCGGTACTGAGGCTGTGTCTCTTCAGGACGGTACTCGGTGTACTGAGACTGCGTCTCTTCAGGACGGTACTCGGTGTACTGAGCCTGTGTCTCGTCTGTTTGGTACTCTGTGTGCTGAGGCTGTGTCTCGTCTGTCTGGTACTCTGTGTGCTGAGCCTGTGTCTCGTCTGTCTGGTACTCTGTGTGCTGAGGCTCCGACTCCTCCGTCCGGTATTGCCTCTCTGACCGGCGCTCTGAGGTTTGCCGCGCCGTCAGCGAGCGACCTATGACCGGCTCACCATCTGCCTGAGACCATCTCTGTTCCTGTTCCGCGGGGGCCCAGCTCTGCTCCTCCTCCCCCGCCGGGGACCACCGCTGCTCCCCCGCCGGGGACCAGTCCTGGCCCTCCCCCGAGTGGACGTAGACTACGGTGTGGGCGTGGTCGGCTCGGCGGCGCTCCTCCAGTCGGGAGTACACCTGCGGCGGCTCGGTGCCCGGGAACAGCTGCAGGCCCGGCGCTCGGCCCGTCACCGGGTCGCGCTCCAGCCGCAGCCCGCCGCCCTCCAGCGGTCCGTCCAGCTCGGCCTGTGAGGTGTACTCGGCCAGAGAGACGAGCGGCGCGCCCAGCGGCACCGGTCGCCGCGCCTCCTCCGCCTCCTCCTCGTCCGCGGGGACCGCTCCGGAGTCCGAGTCCGGCGTCCGACCGGTGACCTGCACCGGGTCCGAGAGCCGGGTGGTCACCGGGAAGGTCACCTGCCGCGCCGTGCCCAACGGAGGCGGCGCCGGAGGGCGGACCACCGGGGGACGGGGCACCGGCGGCGCCACGGTCGGTGGGACCGGGGCAGGGACCGGGGGGCGGGGCGTGGGCGGTGCGGGTCCAGGGACCGGGGGACGGGGGGTCGGTGGGGCGGGGCCGGGTACCGGAGGACGGGTGGTGGGCGGCGCGGGGGGACGGACCGGTGGCGGCCGGGGCAGCGGTGTCACCACGCCCGGCGGCGGGCCCGGCGGCGGGGCCGGTCCCGGCAGGGTGGCGGTAACGGTGACGATGGGCGGTCGGACGGTGACTGTCGGCAGGACGGTGGCTGTGGGCGGCGGCGCCGGAGGCCGCACAGTGACGGTGGGCGGCCGCACGGTGACGGTTGGCGGCGCCGGTGGCAGGACGGTGGGCGGCCGCGGCCCCACCACGGTGACTGTCGGCCGGGGTCGGACCACGGTCACCGTCACCGGGCCGGGAGCCGGCGCCGGCGGCGGCCGGACGACGAGCGCCCCCGGGGGGCCCGGCGGCGGGCCGCCCTTGTACCCGTGCTTGTGACCCTTCTTATGTTGTCCCAGGATTTCCGGGAACTGGTATTTATTCTTGTTCAGTGGACTGGAGGCTTTGATGCTCTCCTCCAAAGACCTAAACACTCCGTATTGTCCGTACGAGTAATGGTGTTTGTTCTCCTCGATGTCCTTGTTGGGGAAGCCGTACTCGGCTGTGTGTCCGTAACCATGGTCATCCCCCGAGTCCAGGTGGCCGGACATTCCGTAGTCCTCCTTGTGGTGGGAGTACATGTCCTCCCCGTACTCGTGGTACTCCTCGGGACGCGGCCAGAGATGGTGCCGGATCACTATCGGCTTCGGCTTCTTGAACTTGTACTTTTTGAAGCGGAGGATCTGAGTAGCGGGCTCGGCACGCGGTATGTCCTGCTGGAGAACCTCACCTTTATGACCTTTGTGGCCTCTGCAGAGGGAAGAAACAGGGTTACCAATGACACTCCGAACATATTTCATTTATCTGTACAGAAATTATGCCACAGTTAAAAACTTTTTAGAGGATAGTTGAATGTAGGGAAAGAACGCAAGATTCTAGCTTTTAATTTGCGTCAGCAGTCAGCACTAATTCATACATTCACCAGTAGCGGCGGGACACCTTCAATTAACAGGGGGGGGGGGGCACCGCCAACTTTTGGTCCCATTCTTTCAATGCAAAGCCCATAGGGCTAATGTTAAAGTGCCAAAATCAAAGGGGGACACGGTGCCCCGGTACCCTCCCCATTACGCCGCCTATGACATTCACATCTAAAAAGGCGTGCAAATGTTACCTATAACATGGTAGTCGCTGATATTATCGTTGACTTACTTTCCCTTTCCTCCGCCGATGAACGACGGCCTTCCCATCATGGACGAGTAGAGCATTCCGGCGAGCGCGGCTCTGCTGGCCAGCGCCAGAGCCATCATGGCCTGCCCGGCGGCGGGGGGTGCCAGTATTGAGGCCAGCAGCAACACCTGACGGCACATATAGGCGTCAGGGAGGCCGAGGGGTTCTGACACACGACTTGTCCGGCGCCGCGGGGGCGCCATTAAATTGAGGCCAGCAGCAACACCTGGCGGCACATACATATAAGGGCTCTGACACACCAACTTCCGGCGCGCGGCGGGAGGTGCCATTACTGAGGTCAGCAGCCACACCTGACACTGCAGCGCACACCCAGCTCAGAGACGGGACAGGGGGCAGAGACGGGCCCGACTCAGGGGTTGACAGGGACAGAGAGCCAGAGACGGACTGATTCAGGGAGGGACAGGGACAGAGACAGACTGATCCAGAGCCGGAACACAGACAGACCGATTCAGAGACCGAGTACTTACAACTGGCATAAAAGCTGAAATTGCCCTGCCAAGTTCTGAACTTTGTCTCTATAATAACAATCAATCATAGCATGCATGCACTAATTTGCGATGATATTCAACCGAAGCGGTTTCCGGCTAAAGAATCGATCAGCTTACCGTCAATTGGCGCGTGTGAACCATGGTGTCGGAGCAGCCGGCGCGCGGACCGTGCCGCGCGGACGTCCTCCCCGTGTGTCTCCGCGGCGGCGACACTGACTGAGCGGGGTCGCGACGCTTCTCTCCGCCGGTCAGGAGCTGAGAGCGCCCGCGGCCGTCCGACCGGCCCAGCCGGACGGGACGCCCCCCGCACAGCCTCGGTATGACCCAGAACCGGCGACCTCACGTGACCCGGCCGGCCGACGCCGCTCCTCCGACCGGCTGACCGGGCCGACCGCTTCTGGTGACGACTTTCGTCCCGACCGGCCGCCTCCTCTGCGGTCGGCGGCAAATTGATGTGGTCCGTTGCTCAATGCGACGGCATGTGACGGTCGTCCGCTCGTGCGCACCGACATGCGTCCCGATTTTTCCGAGTGCGCTACTGCAGGCTGGTGTCGTCAGAGCTGTCGGTACCGCCGGATTACACACTGTGGAAGTGGTGAGAGTCCCGTATTATCCCCATATCTTGTCTACAACACTTTTGTTCCGTGTGAACCCTGGTCTCGGGAACCTCGGCACTACGACTTTCGTTTTCGATAACGCTTTAGAAAGGAAAGGCATATTATTATTAGAGGAGTGAAAGTGCAAACGTTTTTATTCTATTTTCTACATGACCCGAGTTGAATTATTTCTTTTTAGGTAGGAGTACCTGTGTTTCGAGTCTTAGGTAATCTTCGCATGTGCTGAGGAAGAAAATTGATTGCAGGATCTTTATCTGAATTTCTTATTATGCCTGGTCTTTAAGAAAATCCAATGCATGAATATCGGGTGTCGAAATTATCTATTGATTGGAAGTAATATAAGACTCATCCGACTTTTATTTGGGCAATGTCTTCTAGCTATTGAGCCTCTCAATATTGGGACATTTTAAGAAATTTAGGCCGAATACTGACTAGACAGCATCGCTAAACTAAGGAATTAAAAGTAATCTGTGTCCAATATTCTGCCAAATTCTGCTGATCCACGAAGGTTAAAAGTTCCCATTACGCTCTATCCCTACCTTGCAAACTGAAGATACGTTCAGACACCTCATCGTCTAATTTGATTCGGGATTCATGAGAATATCTAGTTGTGTTTCCACGTTATTGTTCAATGCAACGCAGGGCTGTAACAAAAGGTACTGCAATATTCAGCTCATCAACATTTCTCTTGAACAATCCTTTGTAGGATAAATCAATTTTGAAGCGTGCTCATTAGACAAACCTGGTTAAGAAGAGAAATTTGACATAAATGAAATATGTTTGGAAATTACATCCCTGAGCACTTTCATTGCGGATTATTTCATGATGATATCATCGGACTTTAACTACAAAAGACGATCGTAGACAATCGACATGGGCTTGTGGCCATGGCCATTGCTTCATCAGTTATGCATTATCGCTTCAATTTTACTTATCATTTTGTCACGAGGTATTCATTTACACTTGAATTTAGTTAAAACCCGCGCCCCGTAGGGGGGGGGGGCGAAACGGCCCCCCTGTCCTTTTCCGTCGATATCTCCTAAACGGCTAGAGATATCGCCACCAAACCCCTCCGGGCATCAATTTTACATATTGTGACCAAACATTTTTCCAGAGGCTATGATAGGTTGGCCACAAATGACGTCAGAATGACGTCACGTTCTGCCATTTTCGACCGAAAAAAGACCTTTGCGAGAAGAGCTGTCAGGCCTACAGCTTTGAAGATACAGAAAAATGATCAAGACATAAAACGTTTAGAACTGACAGGGCTACAAAACTGCTATCTCGGATTTTTGAAATTTTTGAGTTTTGACCCCCAAAAATCAAAAAAGCAATTTTTGGATATATCTGTCAAAAAATCCAAAAAGTTTTTGAGTTTCGAAAATACCGGAATATATGTGATAGTACCTACCGTCTTCTATCTACATACCAAATTTCAAATCATTATCTTGTTTTTTGGCCAAGTTATAGCGAAAGAACTGTTCAAAAATGATGACGTCAAATTTTCAAACTCAATTTTTGGCAATTCTAGACCACGTAGAGCAAAACAAAGACCACCATTAGACTCCGCGTGACAAGCTGCATCGAAGTGATACCTACACATTTTATGCAAAAATATCAACTTTGAAATTTGACCTAATTTGACCTGACCTTGACCTGACCTTCACCAAAACGTGACTTAAGCTGGCCCCAAAGGCTGCCTGACCCACATAATCGCATTTGTCATGTAAAATGGACCATAAAACATGTATCACACGACACTTTCATATTGTGACCCCCAGGTGACCCCAGTGACCTGACCTCTGTGACCTGACCTGGCATCAGTGACCTCAGATAGCAAAGTATGTGTTTGACGAACAATGTACCATCGATGGTTTTCAATAACTTACCAATTTACTCGATTTCACAACACATTTCTTGAAATGCCTGTGAACGGCGAAAATCCGACCTTTGACCTGACCTGTGACGTCATCGGTTTGACCTAGGTCAATGAAATTTGGTCACAAGGTAGTTCACCTGTGGGGCTATCGAACGCCGTTTGAATTTTGAAAATCGGCCGGTAAATTTCCGAGATCTTAGGGTGGGCCGAAACGCCCCCCCCCCCGCCCTACGGATGGTAGGGTCCGCCGATAGCCCTACGGAGCGCGGGTTAACAGTGCTTTGAGCAATTGTTTTGCTTTGATTGGAGGAAGTCATCCAAAAGTACAGAATGGCTTGCTTTCCGACGGGATTTATCTGTTTGAAATTACCAAAAAGCCTCGGCGTCTTATGCTGATCCAGAATTGGAGGATCAAAAGCATACGATAGCATGCTTTTGCATCCGGAAATTCCCATTGGTGGGTCGCTGAAAAAAAGTTCGGCTGAACCTGTTTGTCAGTGAGTGAGTATGTGAGTTTGTCCAAGCTTTTTTTGGACCTGGAGTCAAAATGGGTGGACCGATCGGGACGAAAGTGGGACCGTTTGATTCGTCTCCGGCGAGGTAAACTTTTGGTGCTGGCCTCGGTTCGCTCGGTGCTTCGTGGTACATGCTATTCCGCTTCAAAGTTTCGGTGACACGAAATTTTTTGTCAAGGCTACAGGTCAACCCGAGGTCACGGGCAAAGTCATACTGGCGGGACACATCGGTAACACCTTGAACCAGTTTCCAGGGGGGTCACCGTCTGCGAGGGGTGCAGGCTGCACGTGCTGGGGTCGGAAAACCGTTTTGACGTGAGGTCCTCTGGCTCAAAGAAATTTTAAGCTATCAACCTCAAAATCGGTTCAATGGTAGTCCCAGGCAAGGCCTCCAAAATAATGCACATTTGGTTGAGCTAAACTCTGTGGTGATTGAGCTATGCACGTGCAAGCCGATTGCACCCCTTCGTACGTTGCCACGCCTGCAGGGTAAACGGCAGCTCTAACTGGTTCAAAACTTGCAGGTCATAAGAAGAATACATTTGATCACGACATTCCGGCGAGATAATATCCGAGGGGTGCAAGCTGCGCGTGCGGGGGGCGGATAACGGTTTTGACGAGGAATCCTCTGATCCCGGGAAACGTCGATCTAGCGACACAAAAGTCGGTTTTTAATGAAGTCATTGAGCTATGGATCCTCCAATTCTGGCCCAAGGCAACGCACGAGCGCTGCCGGCATCTAGTTAAAGGTAGTGTGCCACCTTTGAAAGATTTCCCATTTTATTTTTCCTAGGATAAGAAGCTTCTGTTTTTACCTAATATCGCAAAAAAAAAAATCAAAAATGGGCCTGGAATAGTGCCTTTTTCGCCTAAAAGTTTTTCGGTTTTTAGATATGTATAACAACTGTAGTGGGCTCACCTGCAAACAGGCGTCGGGCAACAATCGCGAATGCGGCGCACTTGTGACGATAAGCAAAGGTCATTATAGTGTTACGACCATACGACGTACGGGAATGAGTTATCAGCTGTCTAATCGTAGACAACACAATGTCGAGCCTTAAACTGTAAGCCCGTATTGGTATTGTTTCTTTTATTTGGCTGTCGAACATTATTTATGGTTTGAAATATGATTTTATGTAAAATAATTGATATGAAAAAGCCGTCTTATAAGTTATGACCCCATTTCACCACACGCAAGTGGCAGAAATGACAATGATCAGCTGACGCATTTTTCGTGGCCGAAGTCAGAGCGCGCGGCCCGACGCACCACGCGTATTTGGAAATTCCGACCTCGACGAGCATCAGAAGCCACCTAACAGGCGTGTTCGAAACCGCAGGAGATGATGATGAACGGGTTTATCGAAACTTGATTGGATGAGCATATCGGTAATAGCGATTTCAGTGTGTGCATTTATTGTTCATAGTGGTGTGAAATGTGGTTGGGGTACGACCGACAACCCGTCGGGGCGAATTTCGCACTGGGGTACTCAAAATTTGAAGAATTTAAGACGTTTCCATGAGTTTTGAAGGTATGGATAAGTTCTAAAAATCCGGTTCTCCTTATCTGGGCCATTAACTCCATACGGTCCAAGAAAGCTGGCACACTACCTTTAACTGGGTGTACCGTATAGCTTAACAGGCACTAGAGCTGTCTACGAATCCCTCGATATCGATAAATATAACACTCGTATTCAGTATATCATATTCAGGTTCACAATTGCAGGGGAACATTGTTCGATGGGGCCCACTGAGACATTCGCTCCACATATAGGATAATCCTGCAACACTGCTAAAATCAGCGCACAATAATCAATCATAACGTTTGGGTCTTGATGGTTTCTGGGCTCCATTTTAGCTCGTAAGAACACATTGCAGTTATTGTGATTATGACTGTCGAAAATAACACATTGCTATGTTGCGCCTACCGGGCGGGTCCCATCTTACACACATAGGGGCTGCTCCCTTGCCTAGGGTTCTGCGGCCGGTGAGCGGCCTCGCGACCCGCCGCCCTTGGAGGCCAGGTCCTCGGTGGACCAGCCGATGACCGGGCTGTACACATACGTCATCAGAGACGACTTGGACGTCATCAGCGCCTGCGACGGCTTGTCGATGACCTCCTGGGAGGGCTGCTGTCGCACCACGCACTCGTCGAGCAGGCCGGGCCGCCAGTGGCGGGTGGGCGCGCACACGTCCAGCTCGCTGTCGAACCGCTCGGTGCGCCGGCACTCGATCAGCACGTAGCCGAGCAGCAGGCACACGGGGCCGGCGGCCAGCAGGCCGCTCACCGAGAACGTCCAGCCGGTCAGCTCGCCGCGCAGCGGCCGCCCCGGCAGCATCGCCTCCTCCACCACCGTGCCGAAAAACAGCACCACCAGCAGCACCGGGCACACGATGCACCATGAGATGCCCCAGTAGTTGAACGACCACCGCATCGAGACGTTCATGGCGTCCCGGAGGTCGTCCAGCAGCCGCTCCACGCTCAGCGTGGAGTTGACGGCCACCAGCAGCGCGGTGGTCAGTGCGATGCTGATGTAGACGCTGACGTGCTGGTAGACGGACAGAAAGGTGAAGTAGCTGGCCTGCACGGTGCTCACCGCGTCCACCACGAAGAACACGGCGCACAGAAGGAGCACCACGGCGCGCGTGGACAGGCCGCGCACCAGGTTCAGCTCGCGCAGACTCGCCTCGATCGTCAGCAGCACGATCTGGACGAACCCAAGACCGGCGAGCACGATGGCGAGCAGCATCAGCACGGACCAGTTCTCGCTGTCGGGCAGCATGCCCAGGGTCGAGGTGAGCCGCACCAGGGCGTGGTGGTCCCCGTAGGCCGCGGTCAGCTCCCGCGCCTCCTCGCCGACCTCGACGGCGTGCGTCCCGGCCATCAGAGCGTAGCACACCACACATATGACGCTCACCGCAAACTTCACGGCGATCAGTGTGACGGCCGAGCGTTTGCAGTTGTGCGTCAGCATGTTGCGGCTGTAGATGAAGCTGTTGACGCCGAGGCCGGTGCTCTGGGTGCACAGGGTATATTTGGCGGCGTTCAGCCAGTCGCGCGAGTCGGCCAGTGAGACGGGGTCGATGGCCAGCAGGCTGAGGGCGGCCCGCGCCGCGCGCTGCGAGCTCAGCAGCGAGATGGTGAGCGCCGTGACGACGAGCAGCGGCGCGCCGATGACGAACGGCAGCGTGTACCGCACGCCGGCGGCGCCGGCCTGCGAGACGAGCGCCGCCAGCATCCAGCAGACGAGCAGCGAGATGGCCACCGCGCCCTGCGCGCGCCGCAGCCCCGGGATCACCGCGTACGGCACGCGGTCGAAGAACTCCACCCCTGCGACGGTCCGCAGCTGGTGCAGCCGCGTGTGGTTGAACATGAACGAGTGGTTCGACTGAGGTACGCACGCGGAGGAGAGGTTCCACCGCGCGACCCGCTCGTCGGCCGGCTCGCACACCTCGCGCACTGTGAGGCAGCGCCGGCCGACGAAGAGGGCGGCGCCCTGGCTCTGGCAGCTCTGGTCCAACCGGTGGGTGTAGCACAAAGGGCCGTTGTAGCTGTTGGAGCAGGTGCTCCAGGCGGCCGGACTGCGGGTGGCCTCCACGCTGTAGAGCGCCGCGCTGCTCACCACTGGCATGTACGTGATGGCGATCACAATCAGTGAGACCAGCATGGCGTACGAGAAGCCCTTCAGCACCGGCGCCATCTCCGGCATCAGCCGGGCCAGGCCGTGGCCGCAAAACTGGCCGAGTGCCGCCTCCAGCAGGAGCATGGGCGCGCCGAACAGCACGAGGCAGGCGGCGTACATGAGGAGGAAGGCGCCGCCGCTGTGCTGCAGGCTGAGGTGCGGCATGTAGAGCAGGGTGACGACGCTGACCAGCGCGCTGCAGCCGACGGCCAGCAGCTCGCCGTCCGAGCCCCAGACGCCGCGGTCCTCGCGGACCTTGCGCTCCGTCATCGACTCCAGCAGGCGCGACACGGTGCGCGCCGGGTTGAACAGAATCATACGCGAGCCGCCCGGCCTCTGCGCCGCCTCCTGCGGGACGAGGTCACACTGCGGACACTCGAACTTCCGGGCGGCCGGATCGCGGAACCTGGTCTTCCGAACTGTTCTGGAGTCTTTGCTGTCGTTTGAGAGCACCTCGATTCCCTCAGAGTCTACGACGATTGTGCCAAATTCTGTGTTAATCTTTCGCTTTCTAGTTTCTGCGAGTAGTAGCAGTGAGGGGGTGAGTGTGGCCGGCTTCTTTGTGTTCACGGCCGGAACTTCGGGGAGGGTCACTTGTTCAGTTCCATCGGTGGTGCTTGCCTCCGTTTCTTTTGTTGAACGACTTTCTGGTATGGTGACAAAGTAGTCCATCTCGATAACTTTCAATAGATTCCGCCCTTAGAAATGATTATTGTGTCCAATGTATCTTTTTGCTAATCGATTCAGCTCAATCAGGTTTCTTGTGACATATGCAAATTATTGTGAATGACCACTTCGTGGAACCCAGTTATTGTCCCATTTATACGCAATCGACGTAAACGATTTCTTAATGGTCTATTTTTTGCCTGTTTCAAGGCCTTTTTTGTATTGGCTGTCTATTTTTTACGTCTCTCTTGATAAAACTCGTGCAGTTGAACAGACGCACTTCCCAAATTATTTTTGATAAAGATCGTGGTGAGATCCAAAAGAGTACGTATCGCCATTGTGCCCCTATCTCGACCATTGGTATTGTGCACTGATTCGTTGATCAGTAACTCATCATTAGTAGTTCCTTTGGTTGCAGTGAGCAGTAAGCAATCCATTGCTTTTGACGTCACTTACCTATTTACCTTATGATATAGCTCAACATTTTGCCGGTACTCAGAATCGTAACTTTTCCTGACCCTTTCCATTTGCGAAGATGGCTGTCGTTGGTAAAACGTGGCGTTATACCTATATTGACATAAAGTTATAAGAGTGGAGTGATGCGAGAGGAATGTCTCGATTTTATTTTGTATCACCAGCGTGCCGTTGCTGATATCATCATATCATGCATAGAATCCAGATACATTCACATCACGCCCTACCACTGGCTGACATGTCCACACTTCTGGAGAGGGATGTGTATGAACATGATGTCGCACGACTACGCTGAATTTAAGCACACACTGGATTCCCAATGATGTCGCATTCCTCGTCACTCGACCCTCGGAGACTGCGCCAACCGCTGTTCACTTGCCGTACCCGTGTGCCGCCGCGCCGGCGCTGGGTCCTTCGCCGGTCCCAGGTAGGTACCGGGGCGCTCTGCAGACCGCTCGGACTGCTGTTCACTTGCCGTACGAGTGTGCGGCCGGCGCGGGGTCCCGCGCGGGCGCCCCGTACCCGGCGGCGGGCTCGCGCGGCGGCGGCTCCACCACCGTCACCGTGACGGCCGGCTCTCGCACGGTGACGGTGCTGGCCAGCGGCTGCACGGTGACCGTCTGGGGTAGCGAGGTGACCGTCACCGGTGGCTGGTTCAGAGTCACCGTCTGCGGCGGCGACTGGGCCACCTGCTGGACCGTGACCGTCTGCGGCGGCGACTGCTGGACCACCGTGACTGTCTGCTGCGCCGGGGCCTGCTGGTACACCACCTGCTGCTGAGGTGGGGCCTGCTGGTACACCACCTGCTGCTGAGGTGGGGCCTGCTGGTACACTGTCTGCGCCGGGGCCTGCTGGACCACCACCTGCGGCTGGGCCTGCTGGTACACTACCTGCTGCTGAGGTGGGGCCTGCTGGTACACCACCTGTGGACTCGACTGAATGACGGCGGGCTGGGCTGCCTGGACCACCGCCGGCGCCGCCGCTGCGTACGTCAGGGCCGGGGCATAGGACCGTGCAGCGTAGGTCACGGGCGCCGTCGCCGCGTACTGGAGGGGAGCCGCCGCAGCGTACGAGACGGACGCCGCCTGCACCGGGTAGTAGTACGAGAAGGACGGCGCCGCCAGCGTGACACGACCTCTGCAAACAGAACGGATGAGGTCACTGGACGGTAGACGTGTCAGATGGCGCGGCAAACAAAAATACCTGGCTCGGTCGAATGTCATGGCCGAAAAATATTTTACCAGAGACCTCTGTATACCGTATACAGAGGGATGTATACAGAGGTCTATGATTTCACTAAAAAGTACCTATAACCAAATACAGGCGAAAAACTGTACTTGAGAATAATTGTTCGGCTGCTTTGGAAGTAACATCACAGTCTACTTTATTTAGGACTCACCCTTTTCCTTTCCCCTTGTGGCCACCAAATGTTGAGTGAGCTACACCAAAGCAAAATAGCATAGCTATCGCAACCTGTGGAAACGAAAGTACATACGTGTGCGTAAATATGAGTACAGGGATGAACGAGTGACGGGACTGTTTTAGTATGCTAAGAAACCTGAATGCATGCAACTATTTACTAATCTGTTCTTCTCAGAAGTTGTCTGAAGGCCATTTACAAATAATAGCTCATAATATGCTAGAAAAAGACGTTAGCATAATTGTTGACTGATTAATGTTGACAATGCAATGCAATAGCAAATCATAAACAGCATTCCTTTTTCGTTTCCCTAATCGTACCTATTTGTTTCCACAATAAGCTGGAACCATGGACATTGCGTAGGACGAGATCTCAGTGTACTTAGCACTCCTGAATAGTTGCGGATATTCTAGTGACCATAGAAGCGGGCCGCCGCTGTCAGCACCTAAACGTCCCACCGGCACCCTCTGTATCTTCGGTGACGGATAGATATACGGGGTGTGTGTAGGGAGGATTGAGCGTTATCCCCGCGGGTCTCACCTGTGAGGGGGCCATGCTGATGTCGGCGCCGCCGCCGCCGGCTGACGAGTGAGCCCACCCGTCTCCGCGGCGCCGTCCCGCCCTGCGCAGAGTGCACACTCTCTGCACAGCTGCCGACCTGGCGGTGAGGCAACACGGGCCGGCGGAGCGGCGCGCGCCCGACCCGAGCGGCGGCCGGCAGCCATCGGACGTCGAGCTCTGCCCCCTGAGCTGCGGTGGGGTCGGAGTTGAGACCTGTCCCGGCCGTGATAGGTTCAGTGGGACGGGAGCGGGACCGACAGGCTTGGGCCAGAAGGTGGGGCTATAATTATCTCTGGCTTGTGTTATCATCTCGACAAAATAACTTACTCGCCCGAGCTCAGTCTCAACTGTGCCATTATCTCAACCGAATGTCAACTAAATGTTAACACAGCACCGGATTGAATTCATTTTCATATACCTCACATACATGTCTGGTTCTAAACTCAAATCACGGTGTGTACCTGATACATTTGTCTGATAGTTTACTGGTCACTGATATCATCCATGTGACCTCTCGAACTGACCGACGAGACCAGATGAAGGGTTGATCCGGGTCCGGTTGTATGACCTAACAACTCTCTCGCCGACTCCAAAAGCCCACCTCACTCACAATGGACAATAGGAACCACAGGCAGCCGCTCAGTTCGGGGGACATCGCGGGAGAGCTGACTGCGAGCTGCCGGTCGGCCGGGCACGCCTCTAATCCCGGGAATTATCTTCATCGGTGACTTATTGATTTATGGAAAATGCATTGCAAGATTGTGCAGCATCCTAATTAATTGCGAAAATGTCATCAACATAGACTGTATCACATTGCAAAATGACACTTTAGTAAACCAGTTCCAGCTTAAGAACATTGTGCTTTCTAAAGCTAAATTTATCAAGCTGAACGAAGAGGAAGTATTTCACGACTTTCTTTTACTTTCGCATTTGGTTACTTGTCTTGTCACGACCGATTCGATCTGCAATATAAGTGGTGGCATTATTTCGGTATGATTGGGATAAGATGCAAGCTGATCTCTCTCTCTCTCTCTCTCTCTCTCTCTCTCTCTCTCTCTCTCTCTCTCTCTCTCTCTCTCTCTCTCTCTCTCTCTCTCTCTCTCTCTCTCTCTCTCTCTCTCTCTCCCCCTCCCTCCCTCCCTCCCTATGCCCCCATTCTCTCTGCCCCTCCCTTTTCTCACTCCCCTTCTCTCTTTCTCTCTCTTTCTCTTTCTCCTTCTCATTCTCTATCTCTATCTCTATCTCTATATCTATCTCTTTCGCTTTCTATTTGGCTTTCTCTTTTTCTCTCTTTCTCTCTTTCTCCCTTTATCATTTTCATTCTCATTCTCATTCTCTTTCTCAACTTGTACCTGTATTTGCTGGCTACCATTCATTTTAGGTGCAATAGGTATTACGCATTGCACATGATATGCAGTTTCAATGATTTCAATAATAAGGATGAACAATCGGACGATTCCAACGGCAAGCACAGTTTGAATTAACCCTCGACGTACCGATTGGTTTTCGATAGATATACCGAAGGGCCTAGAGGTGGTATGCTACCTTCGCCTTTCAACCCGATTCAGCTAGAGCTAGAGCTTGGCAGAAAAACGAGCATGTTCGATGTTCGCCGTTACGAGACGCAGTGAATGTTTCCCAGTGTTAAGGTCTGAGGCCAACTGGTTAGTGGTTAGGTAAGTACCTCTGAGGTCAGATCAAAGGCCCAAATTTCGAAGAGCAGTTTTTGGTAAACAATCTCGGGAAAAGCGCTCACATTAATAGGTACATGCCCAATACCTATGTGCATACATGAGTGACATATGTGTTACACGAGCGATGTAAGTGCACCTATTTATATACGATATACCTAGGTATATAAAAACGACAAATGCGTATATGAACGAAATTTAATGTGAAAAAACAACTTCGGAAAAATGGTCGCTGAACAATGAGTTCAGCGACCATCAGCGACCAATATCGGCTGATCGCGATCGGTCAAGTTCAGCAGCGTTTGATGACATACTTTTTGTTTAGGAGATCACCTTCGATGTTGGCCGCAGGACAAGGTCAAGTTGAACCCGGCCAGGTAGGTCAGAAGCTCATCGAGGGAGGTCTAATCATTTGATTAGGTAGCTCATGCTGAGTTGAATTGTGCCTTTCCGTACTTGCTTTATCATTGTAGTCGCCAGGTATGGACGAACAGGAGAATCCGCTTAATAAATCCTCGGATAATAAATCTAGCCGCTTATTGTGGCCGCTTTAGCTGTTCACGGATTATCTCCAATTCCATAGATAATTAGATACCCATAGTTAATACCTAAATCCGCTTAATAAATCCACGCACTCCGCTTAATAAAGCCACTTGGGAGTTTCGAAGTCCGCAGTGACGTCTCCCCACTCGAAACGTGGCATCCAACCCGCTCCCAAAGAACCGTTCTGGAGCAGCGGTCTGCAGCAGTTGGAGTTTTAAAAACAGAAGTTCAGGGCTATAAAGAGCGCAATCAACATGCACTTCAAATAAATGTTCCCGGCAAAGCAGGCACGCTCGGCTGTTCCGCGTTGGCATAGCAGGCATGACGGGCAGTGATCGTGGATGGATATGTTGACTTAATTGGTGTTACAGCTGTGCAGTGTGCGCCGTCACTTTCAGGGGCATTTCTACGCTCGCAGGTTTGGGGGTTGTCCAACCCTGAAACGCACGCCTTTATGAATAAGGCTGCATTACGAAAGTCAAATTATTGGGGACTGGACCCCGCGACCCCACCGATGCCGGAGCCCCTGGTCACTTTCATTGGAATAAGTAAAGCAATGAGCAATGCTAGCCTATGCGCTTGTATTGCAGGGGAACGGAACGTGCAGCTGCAATACACGCCTTTTAAATGAAAATAACTTAATCCGATTAATAAAGCCACCGCTTAATAAGTTCAAGACATCTTTGTCACCAAAGTGGATTTATTAAACGGATTCCACTGTATCTCCAACAACCTGATTGACGTCAATATCACTTAACGTCAAATATGACGTCATTCATGATTCAAGGCTCAAAGTGAAGAACAATTATCTGAAATTGGAAGAAGATATGAAATCATGATTGTGTCACTTCCGGCGCAAAGTACCTAATCAGTTTCTGTATTTTCCTTGTTAACGTATAATAGTGAGGTGGTCAGTTGACCAATCTGGCCCTTATAGAGAATGTAAGATCGGTATGCCTCCAAACTGTAAGAATCTAAAATGCGCGTAGTACCGAAGATCCACCGATCCGCCGAAGATAGCGCCGATGTATGTCAAATGATATATCTGATATCTCTATCTGTGACGTGTTCTTAGCCATCGCAAAGAAGACGTCGAGGTGACAAGCTACCCATAAGAGATAGTTAATGATTTAGATTTTAGACTGTAAGTAGAGAACACGAAGGCGAAAGTCGCTGTGGCTGCGATTCTGTAACATTTTCTTCGCTACTTTTACCTTAAAATCCTATTTTTTGTTGAACGTTGCTGACAGTCTCCTAAAAATGCTGTCTAGTTTTCCATGTATTTGGACATAACAATCAGGAACATACATAACAAAACAAATCAGATCATAGCAACTTGTTGCATGTATGGCAAATGCACGCACTTCTACAACATTTAAGCATTTAAACAATCAATGACAAGTAACTTTCAGCTGATGAAACACGATGGGCACCGGCTGATATCAAACTGACATAAATATCGCAACGTAACAACAACAAACTCGTGAGCTAACCGATAAGTGCCAAATGCTACCAAATGGTACATTTGAAGTTACAATGCTACTCTTCGTATTCACAACCTGCCCCTCCCTATATTGATTTATCGACATGGCCCATAGTGATTGCCAGAAAGAAACCTTGGGGCGGTAACAAGCTGGTCATTTACCTACCAAAATTGACTAACTCTCGCAATGATGATGGCAAATGACAAACAAACGCAGATTGTACGAGTTCTGACTTGCACTATTTGCCTTTTCTACTCGGCTCACTCTCTGATTTCCGGCGAGCTGATACTTCGTTCGCAGCATCTGACTGACCCTCTGCGGTGCCGGTGCACCTTTGCTCTACCCTCCTCTATCGTCCCCCGTCGGTGCCGTCGGCCTCAATCGTCGCCCGCCCTGTACTGACGAGAGGCGCCGTCGGCGGTCCAGTCGACCCTCTGCGGTATCGGCGGGGTGGCCGCCCCCTCCTCCCCCTGCTCAGTGTGCAGGGCCCGCGCCGCGTACCCCGTGCTGGGGGGCGCGCCGTACCCCGTGCTCGGCGGCGCGCCGTATCCGGAGCTGGGCGGCTCCATGTACCGCGTCACCGTCACGTAACGCTCCCGCCACTGGGTGACGAACTTGGGTTTTTCGAGGAACTTTGTGACGTAGACGGGCCGCGTGACGTAGCGCGTCACCACCACGGGCTTCTCGTGCGTCTTGGTGACGTAGACGGGCCGGTCGACGGGCACTTCGTGGCGCACGGGCACGTAGCGCGGCACGGGCACCGGCTCGCGTACGAACTTGGTGACGGGCGGCTCTTTGACCACGTGGTGTTTGACCACCTCGTGGATGACGGGCCGGGGCGGCGGCGGCGGCGGGGGCGGCGGCGGCGGCGGCGGCGGGGCCTGCGGGGCGGCCTGCACCATCACGACCGGCTGCTGGAGGAGGGGCACCGCCTGCTGCGGCTGGTAGACGGACTGCTGCTGCTGGAAGACGGGCTGCTGAACCGGGATCGGCACCGCCACCTCGATATACTCCTCCCTGGCGGGCGTCGGCAGCGGTGTCAAGGGACACGGTCGGGAGACAGACTGGTGGTCAGCTCATTGATAAACGGGGAGTGAATGTATATGATCACAACTATTCGACAACCCAGAAAAGATGGACAAAGGAGCTCATACGAACAGCAGACAACGGTAGCATCAGTGAGCATGACTATGAACATTTCAAAGGTTTCGTAAAGTCGCTTACGATCTCGTTACCGTTTACTTTTTGTGTAACTTACTCGTCATCTTGCCAGAGGTTCTTGAACTTGTCCCAGACGCCTTTATGCCCCTTGCCTCCTTTCGACATGGACACATGGCTCACCATGCAGGAAACGAGCAGAATCGTCTGAAACAGTGCCAACATCCCCACCATCAGACAGTTGACTGAGTATTACAGGGACACGATTGGTTAAGCAAAATGTTTGAATTTCAGAAGAATATTCACACAAGGAACTGTTGTAGTCCCGTGCCCCCATTGACGCGTAAGATGCTGCTTAGATAATGAGAAAGACAGCTGTTGAAGCTGTGAGCTGCAATCGCAGTCACACATGAAGCTACAATCGCGGCGGCAGAGCACTGCAGTCTACTTGTCACTTGAATCGGCACAGTGCACAGGTCCACTAACTTCGTAATCTTACCGTGCTGAGCCTCATGCTGGTGTCGTCTGGCGGTTGCCCGGTGTGGCCCCGAGCGCGGCGCCCCTGTTGTCCCTGTCGCGCGCTGCGGACTCGGCTGGTTCGTGTCGGCGGCGGCGGACTCCGCTGGGACGCAGCGGACTCGGCTGGGACGCTGCGGACTCGGCTGATCCGAGCGGGACGCTGCGGAGTCGCTGTTTTCCGCCGGCTCTCCGGAGTGCCACTGCAGCGTTCGGCCGGTGCGGTTATCCACCGGTCACTCCCCCCCCCCCCCCGTCCTCTGCTACCGGCCCGGTCACTCTCGCCAGCCCACGGGCCGTCCGGACGTCCGGCGAGAGGCCACCCCCCTCCCCGGCCCCAGCCGTCACCATAATTCACCAGCCGTCCACCTAAACACAGCCTCGAAGATGAGCCGAACCGGTCCCCGAGCGGCGGCAGCTTCTCCCGGCTTTCACTCCGAAGACAACCAGGCATCCGCGGCTCTCGAAAAATGCCGGATTACCAGAGAGATTGACAGAATGTCATCAATTAGTGAGTACGCACAACTCGGTGTCTTGGAAGAACTATATGAGTGTCGCGCTAACTCGGAGAAACCGTACATCTGCCGGTCTGAGGAAATCGTCCCGCTTTGACTTAGAGCGCCTGATAATCCACCGGATGGGCGACATTTTTTTTTTATTGGATTTGAACGCTGAGTTTCGTCTCTGGTCTTGTGTAGAGGTAATTTATATTCTGGTGGCTGATTTTAATGATTTGGTTGTCAGTGATTCACCATTGCACAACGCACAGGTCTCTTCCGATATTTCGCGAATGAACGAACGAAATAGCGGTCTTTTGATAAGAAATATAAGCTTTTCGCCAACGGCCAGCGTATGTTCTAAAATCTTTTCATTATTAATGCAGAGTAGCTCTCTAGCAACGAAATGTCATTCATTTGAACTTGAATGAACAAGGGCTATAGGGCCTTTTATGTTCTTTTAGGATAAGATGCCTTTGAAATTTATACTTTCGCCAGCATGCGATTGCCATTAACCCGCGCCCGGCTGGGGGTCCTGGATTTCCACGCCCTGCTGGGGGGGGGGGTGTTTGAACACCCCCCTTCTAACTCGGCTCCTGGGCCACGTAGCGATACGCGGAAGGCGGCGTTCGAAAGAGCGTCAAAAATAATGAGGAAATCACTTCGGTCAATTTTTTGGTCAGGTCAAAGGTCAGGTCACCAGAGGTCATTGAAGGCAAAATTTCGCCGATTTCCAGGTCGAATGTCGACAATTTCCAAGAAGCCAACGCATAACTCGGGAACCAATAGAGCTACAGCGCCGCGGAAAAGCGCATTCGATAGCCCTTTTAACGCCCTTTCTGAGTAATTTTCTCAGATTTGACCTAACGTCAATGGTTTTGCCTGCAGGGGGCAAAAACTGCAAAAATAGCCGATTTTTTTCGGAAACAGTTTTTCTGCAATAACTTTTGACCCAAGCCTTGTACGAGCTTACTTTTACCGGCATCGTGTTCCTCTCGTCAAGACGCATCGAATGAACTATAAGTTGACCTTGAAAGGTCAACTTGAAAATTTGACCTCAGGGCAAGGTCATGACCTGACCGGAAAGGGTCATGTTGCATATCAGTCGATCCGTATCGTCGAGCTGAACACGTCTAAGGCGTTTTCATCGCTCTAGCATGCCTCTATCAAAAGTTATTTGCGAAAACTGTTAGATACCATTCGTGACCTAAGTTGACCTCAGGGCATAAACAGGGGTCACGGACACTATTTTCATGTTCAGTGTGTCTAAAACACTTGTAATTCAGTGTTTGAGAGTGTTTATAATGTCTTTCGTCCAAAAGAGGCGCATTTCAATTTTCTCCCATTGACTTATAATGGGCAGGTCGCAAAATTGACCTGACCTTAGGTCATCGATATCAAAATTCTGAGATATACATTTTGTACATGCTATTGCTCTTAGCAATCGCTGAAAGTTTCAAAGCGATCGGTCACTCGGTGTAGCTATGACAGACATTGAAACTTTTTATGAGGTGAGGTCACTTCAAGTGACCTGGTGACCTGACCTTGAATGACCTTGGTCTGAAATTTTCACAACATGTGTAGAATTGATGTATGATAAGGTGTACCAAAAACCACAAGGGGGGGGGGGTGTTCAAACACCCCCCCCCCCCCAGCAGGGCGCGGGTTAAAGTTTGGGACAACTCCCAGAGCATCTGTTCTACACTCTGGTGACATTTATGGCGCTGGTTTGAATGTTTGATCTACGTTTTGTTTGGGTATGTCCTTTCGTTCTAATGAGACCGTTTAAGGGCTGTATGATCTTCGGATTCAGGGAGACATTGGTCTGGGTGGCGCCACTGGCGCGCCGCGGGGCTGAGCCCGTCACGAGGGACAGGCCACCAATCCTCGCAGACGGTCACCCCACGGCACGCGGGCCTGATCCTGAGGAGCTATTTATTCTCTTTCGAATGATGTTAACCGTTCAGTCCCGGGACAAGGGGTTTGTGGTGCCGGGGAGAATTTGTGTGACTCCGAGGATATAGCGACAGTGGCGCCGCCGTCACCTCGTCTCCCCTCTGGCGGCCATGTACGGTACTAGTATTGAAACAGTGGTGCCATCTGCAGCGACCTGAGCCTTTTCTAGCGCTGATGGTCTGAGTATCAGCTGCAGCTCCGTCGAACGAACGCCTTTGTTTCCAAGGGATTTATATAATAAGCCTTGACTCTAGCTTATAACTAGTCTTGTAAATAGTTGAGTAGATATTTATTCTTGACTCATAAAATAAAGCTAAAACCTAATTTGGTGTAACTGCCGCCTTGGAAGAAAGCGGACTGTAAATGTAGACAAGTTTGTATGTAAGCCCATCGCACATCAAAGTAACATCGATTTTTCATCTAGAATTCGCGTTGTTAGAGAATCTCGAGCCATCCCCTTCGACGTGGAGACACTGCACTCCGGCTCGGAAGCAATGTCAGTTGTTTTGTTCTCTGAAAATCATTCTGTTACGCCAATGACGGCTGCACTGGCAGTGGCCCTGCCCCCGGTGACGGGACTGCCAGTGCTGCCAGTGCTGCCGCACCCGTCAGCAGCAGCACTCCGCAGCGCCCTCTGAGGGAGCAATGCCGCCGCCGCTAACTGATCTGAACCGGACTGTCATTGTTTGTGTGCGACGCTCCTATGTTCCGTGGCATCGCTTTTGATGGGCAGGGATCGTCTGCTTCGTAGCTGAATCGTCAAAACATACCCTAGGCTTTTAGTTATTTCATATTTTAGTGCTGAGTTGAGTTCCCATTTCGTATTTGAGTGCTAAGTTGAGTTCCCTGTCGTTGCATGCTTCTACTGAAGCTTCGCAAACGTGTGACAAGCTATATGTATATTATTCTCCACTTCTATGTGATTTAGTGGCTCAATTTGGCCTATCGGAGTTTGTGTGGCGTCAACTGTGATCTGCGCGGGGTCGCCTGCAGCTTTCTTGAAGTATTAGCGCGATAATACTTCAATGCTAATGCTGTCATCGGATGTGAATAAACATATCAATGCCTGACATTAGCGATAATTTTCGGTCGGTCTGAGTTAACCCGCGCCCCACTGGGGGGGGGGGGGCTACTCATAGCCCCCCTCCCGTTTTTCTGCAATAACTTCCAAACCGCTTGACTTATCGACGCCAAACTTTCAGAACCTTCGGCTGCATCAATTTGACACCTTGTGTCAAAATTTGAACTTCGTAGCTACCATAGGTCGGCCGGAAATGGCGTCAGAGTGACGTCATGTTCGGCCGATTTCGACGCAAAACATTGAACCACGGCAATGGCTCCCAAGAGCTCAGTTTTTAAGCTAGATCCAATTTCTTTGCATGAAAGGACTCAAAATTGACTGCGCTATCAAACTGCTATCTCGGATTTTCAAAAATTTTGAAAATTTCGAAAATTTCACATAATAAAATTAAAATTTTATATTTTTATAATTTTTTTGACTTTTCGAAAAAAAAAAACGGAATATATGTGACAGAACGCATGCCTATGACTTACTCTAGCAAATTTTAGCTAAATTTCTTAAAAAATGGCCAAGTTATAGGGGAAGTTGGGGCAATGCCGGAGTTGGGGCAAAGCCGAAATTCGAGATATTTCGAAAACCGTAAGACATGGATGCCACCTGTCAGTGATGCTCTGAAGCTTAAGTGACTACAATTATCGCATGTTTGTTACGAGTCGTCATTCGGAATACTTCGACTGTGAGGGCGCCAAGAGCGTTTTCAAGGTACGTTTCCCTTGTACTACATGCGCCTTTGAAGCTGCATTTTTTACTCATTATGCTACCGTTTGTCTGGCCAATTCGGTCAAGTAATCTTTAGCATGTCTTTGCATAAGTGTGCTGCCTATTTGAAATTTATACAGCACGTTGAAAAGTTATGGGCCTGCAAATGAAAGTATGGCTGGCTGGGGTAATGCCGAAAACGTGCGATTACGCACGTGTTAAAAGCACGCTACGAGGACTTTACTGCTGTAGAATAGCAACGCGTATTTTTAGTCACACAAATTACACTTTCAACCGACACAACGGCCTGTTACCTATAAGGAATGATTTACCTGGCATTTTTTTATTATATCACACAATTATAACTTCCAGTGTGCACCGCGTCCTCAAGCTCTTGAAACGTGTGTCAGCTTTGATGAATTCTGGATAAAGTTTGAGATAAAATGGCAAAACATCAATGTCGGGATTCCCCGTAGATCATTTCTCCCATTTTCGGCTTTCCCCGCAGTCCGGGGCAACGCCGAAAAAGTCACTTCTTTGATATTTTTAGTTTGTGCGCTTAACGGTATGCGAATTCATCAAATGCGCCTGGTATGTTTGAAAGGCAAAAGACTGGCCTCTCGAATGACGCCAACAAGAATAGCGTATGTTGTCTACCTTGCGTGCTACGGGCGTCAGAAAAAAGTCTTCGGCGTTCCCCCAACTTCCCCTACGCATTATAGCAAAAAAAAAATCACAATTATAATTTTTCAAATCAAATTTTCAGTACGTATTTGACATCGTACATCAATATAAATAGCACCATCGTGTTCATGAGCTCAAACTGCATCCAATAGACACCTTTTTTTGTTGAAAATTTTTAACTTCAAAATTTGACCTTTTTGTGACCTGACCTAAGCTAAATTCGACTCAAAATGACCTCGAATGAC